TGTGGGTTGTGGGTTGTGGGTTGTGGGTGGTGGGTTGTGGGTTGTGGGTTGTGGGTTGTGGGTTGTGGGTTGTGGGTTGTGGGTTGTGGGTTGTGGGTTGTGGGTTGTGGGTTGTGGGTTGTGGGTTGTGCGTTGTGTGTTGTGTGTTGTGTGTTGTGTGTTGTGTGTTGTGTGTTGTGTGTTGTGTGTTGTGTGTTGTGTGTTGTGTGTTGTGTGTTGTGTGTTGTGTGTTGTGTGTTGTGTGCTGTGTGCTGTGTGTTGTGTGTTGTGTGTTGTGTGTTGTGTGTTGTGTGTTGTGTGTTGTGTGTTGTGTGTTGTGTGTTGTGTGTTGTGTGTTGTGTGTTGTGTGTTGTGTGTTGTGTGTTGTGTGTTGTGTGTTGTGTGTTGTGCGTTGTGTGTTGTGTGTTGTGTGTTGTGTGTTGTGTGTTGTGTGTTGTGTGTTGTGTGTTGTGTGTTGTGTGTTGTGTGTTGTGTGTTGTGTGTTGTGTGTTGTGTGTTGTGTGTTGTGTGTTGTGTGTTGTGTGTTGTGTGTTGTGTTTTGTGTGTTTTGTGTTGTGTGTTGTGTGTTGTGTGTTGTGTGTTGTGTGTTGTGTGTTGTGTGTTGTGTGTTGTGTGTTGTGTGTTGTGTGTTGTGTGTTGTGTGTTGTGTGTTGTGTGTTGTGTGTTGTTTGTTGTGTGTTGTGTGTTGTGTGTTGTGTGTTGTGTGTTGTGTGTTGTGTGTTGTGTGTTGTGTGTTGTGTGTTGTGTGTTGTGTGTTGTGTGTTGTGTGTTGTGTGTTGTGTGTTGTGTGGTGTGTGGTGTGTGGTGTGTTGTGTGTTGTGTGTTGTGTGTTGTGTGTTGTGTGTTGTGTGTTGTGTGTTGTGTGTTGTGTTTTGTGTTTTGTGTGTTGTGTGTTGTGTCCTGTGTGTTGTGTGTTGTGTGTTGTGTGTTGTGTGTTGTGTGTTGTGTGTTGTGTGTTGTGTGGTGTGTGTTGTGTGGTGTGTGTTGTGTGTTGTGTGTGGTGTGTGGTGTGTTGTGTGTTGTGTGTTGTGTGTTGTGTGTTGTGTGTTGTGTGTTGTGTGTTGTGTGTTGTGTGTTGTGTGTTGTGTGTTGTGTGTTGTGTGTTGTGTGTTGTGTGTTGTGTGTTGTGTGTTGTGTGTGTGTGTCACCCCCCGCGGGATTTCACGCACGGCCGCCTCCGCCGCCAGCTTGCCCCCAAGCAGCTTCCAATGGGTGATCTCGGAGGCCTCTAGGGCGTGGCACTGCCCTCCTGCGACAGGACGGCCTCCAGCGCCGCCAGCCAGCGCTGCAGCTGGTATGGGCAGCCCAGGGCCGCCTCTGCTGCCAATTCGTTGCCCGTCGGCCACACCTGGATGAACCCCCGAATCCGCCCGTGCGCCCGCTGCCGCCGTGGCGATCAGGCGGAGAGGGCCAGGGCCATCGTAGCCCAGCGAGAGAAAATCGGCCTGGCCTCCAGACGCCAGCTCCTCGAGCTGCCCCCGCAGCTGCCCACCGCCCTCCGCCAGCTCCGAGCGCACGTGCCCCTCGCAGACCGCGTCCGGCCCACCCGCAGAGTTCAAGGACGTTGAAGACGAAGGGCCAGCAGCTCCGCACGGCCTCGGGCAGCGCGCCTCGAAGCGCAGCTGCATCATCCCGCCCGTCGGCAGGCCACCGCCATGAGGCCCACGCCAGGGCCGCGGCACGTGCCCCCTCATGGCGCTGCTCGGGCCGCGCTTGTTCCCGGCGCGGGTCCCTGGAGCTCTCGACCCTTTCCCCGGGCGTGGCTCTTGCGCTCGGTTACACTCAGCGGTCCCGAAAAAGTCCGAAGCGGGCAACCAGGAGCCCAAGCAGGGAGAACAGACCAGGTACTCCATCGTTCGCGGTGCCTGCAGGGAGGGTTCTTATTTGCCCCGTCCTCCTCCCCGCCCTCCTCTTCCTCCTCTTTCTCCTCTTCCTGCGTCTTTTTTCATTATCAACAAATGATTCCTCGTAGCACCACCCAATTTGTCTATAAGGCGGACCAGACGTTTCGCAAGGGACTTCACATCCGCACAGCATGTCAAGGCTTGAAACCCCCAACAGCCCAACGATGGAGAATCTCGCCTCAGCGCCGCATATACTCTTCTTATGAATGTCAGACTATCAGAAAAGATGGAGGGCGAATGGATGTTCAGAAATGCGACTCTCGCCATGGCGCCGCGCAAATTCGTCCCAGGAAGTCCCACGGAAGGAAGGATGGAGACCAAAGACCTCGATCCTGGATCCTCGTCCTGCTCGTCCTCCTGGCGAACCTCCTTGGGCTTGTCAACCTCCTTCAGATATTTGTCCTCCCCCTCCTCCACCTCCTCTTCCTCCTCCTCCTCCTCCTTCTCCTCCTGCTCCTCGTCCTCCTCCTCCTCATTCTCCGCCTCCTCCTCCCCCCTCTCAATTCCTTTCCCTAATGAACAATTTCTCCATGCCGCACCCCGAGGGCAGTCGGAAGGGTGGGCCTGGCCTTCCACCCGAGATGTCCTTACCATGTATATCATGCAGCTTACAATTCGCAGCAGCTTCACAAATTGAGGGCGGGTGGTTTTCAAGATGTGGTTCTCGCCTTAACGCCGCACACATGTGTCTTAAACAATTGCAAGAGCTTCATGGATTGAAGGCGTGTGGCTTTCGATGTGCGTCTCTCGCCTAAGCGCCGCGTATAGTCGTTGTAACAAGTCCAAGAGCTTCACAGGTTGAATGCGGATGGTTGTAAATGTGGCTCTCGCCTTAAGCGACGCGCACATTCGCATGAAAACTTGCAGGCGCTTGACGGATTCAGGGCGGGTGGAGTTTCAAAATGTGGCCCTCGCCTGAACGCCGCGCACATTCGTCTTCGAAGTTTGCAAGAGCTTCAAGGATTGAGGCCGAATCGTTTTCAAAATGCGGCTCTCGTCCTAGCGCCGCGCAGATTCGCACTCAAAAACGCAACGGATTCACAGATTCTCACTGGTAACGTACCAGAATTTGTTTGGAGCAATTCAACTGTCAGGGCGCAACAGTTACTTTGATTCGCGGTGTCGAAGTCCCAGGAATGCTGTTCTGGCACGGTTCAGGATCGTCGAGACGCAATAGTCAAGTTGATTCGTGGCGTTGAAGTCTCGAGAACGGTGCACTTCCGACGGGGCACTTCCCCCAGTGGGAACGAATCCCAATAGGGGAATGTGAAGAGGGAGCTCGTTGATGAGTCTTGGGTTTACACTGGTCCTCCTCCTCCTCCCTCCTCGGGCTCGTCGGGGATCTACTGACCCGGGTCAATCCAGACCCAGGCCAGTCAGGTTTTGCTGGATCCTGCAAGATCCTGCGGGATCCTGCGCCGAAGCCCTCGTCAGTGCGCCCCTTGCTCTGCAAGATCTCGCAAGATCTGGCGCTCTGGCTGACCCCCGTTTGCATTGACCCCCGCCTCAAGGCTCCCGACCCCTGAAGAGACCGGCTCGGGATGAAGAAGCAGGTCATGGGGAAGAGGCCGAGACCCCTGGGGGTACACATTGTCGATCGATCAATCAATCGAGGCTCGAGGATCGAGGTTCGATCGATTGAGACTCGACCCATCGATCGACCGATCAATCGATCGATCAATCAAAACTCCCGATCTCGTCCTTCCCCGCCCCCGCCGGGCTCGGGCTCGTCGGCCGCGGGGAGCAATTGCCCGCGCGGCGCCGGGGCTGGTCCGCCGGCAACTCGCAGTACCTCCGCGCGAAGGGGCGGGCCCCGAGGTTTAGCGGAGGAGGCGGAGGAGGAGGAGGAGGACGAGGAGGAGGGAGAGGAGGACGAGAAGGAGGAGGGCAAGAAGGAGGAGGGAGAGGAGGAGGGCAAGGTGTGGAGGAGCAGGAGGAGGAGGAGGAGGAGGAGGAGGAGGAGGAGGAGGAGGAGGAGGAGGAGGAGGAGGAGGAGTGGGAGGAGGAGAGCGAGGGGGAACAGTAAAGAGGAGGAGGAGGAGGAGGGCGGGGAATGGGGCGTGGAGTGGAAGGAGGAGGAGGAGTAAGACAACGATGAGGGGGAAAAAAGGAGAGAGGAAAAGGGCGCGGGCCTCTCTGGGGGCCCTCTTGGGCCGTCGAAGAGCTCGCTTGGACTGTTCCGTGCGCCCCCACTGAGAACATCGCGGCAGATCGCGCAGAGGAAAGCGGTTGAGTTTTCTAATTTGAACATGTTCAGGACTTCCGCCAACGTGCCTTCAGCGCGTACTGCAATACCCCAATGCTCATGCAGATGTAAGTGTTAGAAGGGAAGGTCCAGACAACCTATTTGCCCGAACTCCCGAGAGCTCCTGCGCACGTCTGGCGCTTCTCATGTGGAATTGGGAAAACCCAAACCTTTCCACACTGCCTCCAACATCGCCGAAGTGTCCTCCAAGCAACTCACAAAAAACGCAAACCCTCCAGGTGGGCCCAAGGGCGCCCTATGTGTTGGTTGATTGCTTATCAATCCGTCGGGGAAGCATGGAGATCGGTTAGCAAGACTCTGCCTGGCTGACGTGTTTCGTGTTGCTTGGTACAGCTTCCACTAGCGCCACAAGCCATCGTCAAAAACACAACTTCAACATAGACCTCACATGTTGCACCGAAGCCAAGAAACAACTTGCTCACAAAGCACATGTGTTGGAGGAGGAGGAGGAGGAGGAGGAGGAGGAGGACGAGGAGGAAAGCTGCGGGGATGGGGCTCGACCACACAATTGGCGCATGCACTCCGCGGGCAGATATATCATACACTGTATACATGTTAGCAGGCAGATTCATTAAAAAAGGCTGCGCCCTAGAGCCATCCCAATCTGGGCAGCCGCCAAAGGAATCGAAGCCGCACGCTTACGTTTGCGGATGCCAGGACAATGGACACCCTAACAATCCGATCATTGAATGAAAAATGTGTTTAAAATGTTTGAATAGTGTTCAAAACATGTGGTTTACGCGTCTAAGACATGTTTAAAGCAGTTTTAGATGTCTGGAAATTGCTTGGCAACATGTGCTTCCTCTCTATTGATCGTCGTCCACAAGCTTACGTCGTGCAAGTGATGCCTCATCGTCCCCCTGTCCTTCCCCTCCTCATCCACCTCTCACCTGTCCTGAACTGGCGAGAACCCCAGAATATCGGCCAGGAGGGGGGGGAGAAGCCAAATCCGCTCAAAAGCAGGCCCCAGACCCCTCCCGGGGTCCATCTGGTGCAGCTTTTCACCCCGGATCCATTTTCACTGTCCCGGGTCGCGAAAACGACCCCCGGAGTCCGAAAAAAGCCCCCCCCCCCCAAAAAAAACGCTCCCGAACCAAGAACCTCGAACCTGCCCGCCCTTCCTGCTGGCCTGAACAAATGATGGGCCACCTCGGACCCCGAGACGGCTCCAGCTTCAGCCCCCCTCCCCTTCTTCCTCCCCTCCTGCACCTTCTTCCTCCCCTGCTCCTGCACCTCTTCCTCCCCGCCCCCTCCTCCTCCTGCACCTTCTTCCTCCCCTCCCCTCCCCCTCCTGCACCTTCTTCCTCCCCTCCTCTCCTCCCCTTCTTCCTCCCCTCCTCCTGCACCCCTTTCCGACTGCACGCGGCGCCCTCCGGGAGGGAGGGCGTCCACGGCACCGGCGGGAGACCCCAGGAGGAGGGAGACGTGCGGAGGCGGCGGCAGCAGGTGCAAGGCTGTTCCTGGCCTTCCCCCCCTCCTCCTTCTCCACCCCTCCTCCTCATGTGGATCTCGCCGTAGCGACGCGCACATTTGTCGCATAAGCGTGCAAGGGTTTCTCGGATGGAGGGGTGCTCCGTTTCAAAATGTGGCTCTCGCCTCAGCGCCGCGCGGATTCAGTTTCATAAATTTGCAACAGGTTCATGAAAGGAGGGCGGGTCGTTCTCAAAATGTGGCGATCGCCTTAGCGCCACGCACATTCGCCTCAAAGGACTGCAACAGTTTCACTGATGAAGGGTGGGAGGCTTTCAAACTGTGGTTCGCGTCCCAGCTCCGCGTACGTTCGTCTAAAATGATTGCAACAGTTGCAGCGAATGGAGGGCGAGGGGCTTTCCACCTGTGGCTTTCGCCTCGGCGCCTGGCACGGCCCTCGGTTTGCAGAGAGGGTCACGCATTGACGGCGGGTGGCGTTTTCAAGATGTGGCCCTCGCCCCAGCGCTGCGCACACTCGTCTTGAGAGTGTGCCGCGACTTCCAGGATGGGGGGCGGCTCGCATTTGGAATGTGGTTTTCGCCCCATCGCCGCGCAGTTCATCGTAAGAGTTTTCAGCAGCTTCACGGACGCAGGGCGGGTGGCGCAAAAAAGGCGGCTCTCCCGTTCACGAAGGACTGCAAAAAAAACCCTCCGTCGTTCGGGTGGCTCAGAAAAGGTGGCTCTCCCTGTCTCGCGCCGCGCGCATTCGTTTGAAAAGATTGGCAGAGCATCACGGATGGAGGGCGCTGTTTGCTCAAACTCTGGCTCTCGCCTCAGCGCCGCGTAGATCTGCCCTAAAAGTTGGCACCAGTTGTAAGGAATGGTATGCGGGCACGATTTAGGACTGTCAGGGCGCAACATTCCCTTTGCGTCGCAGTGTTGAAGTCATGAGAAAGGAGCTGCGGCACGATTCAGGATGGGCAGGACGGGACGCAACAGTAAACAAATTATTCGCGGCGATGAAGAACCAGGAGTGGTGTTTTGGCACGGTTGGAGATGACCAGACGGTTGTCTTCCAACGGAGGACTTCCCACAGTGAAAATCCGCCGGCCCCCTTGTGGGGCCACCAGGCTGTAGGCGCGGGTTCGCAGTTTCCTGTGTCAGTTGTAGCTTGTAGTTTCCAGTGTTACAGTTCTGCTTCTTGCTGGTTACTGTAACTAGTTGATTGACCGCGCGAGGGGGGGGGAGGCCCAAACCACATATTTAGCACCTCCTGGGCGCGTTGTCTGAATTGCTGGGGGGGGCTCGAAATCGACACCCCTCACGCAGATCCGCGGGGTCAGGGTCCAAAAACACAGGGATTTGCCACATTTCTGAAATTCGGTGCCACCCCTCACGCAGATCCGCGGGGTCAGGGTCCAAAAACACAGGGGATTTGCCACATTTCTGAAATTCGGTGCCACCCCTCACGCAGATCCGCGGGGTCAGGGTCCAAAAACACAAGGGATTTGCCACATTTCTGAAATTCGGTGCCACCCCTCACGCAGATCCGCGGGGTCAGGGTCCAAAAACACAAGGGATTTGCCACATTTCTGAAATTCGGTGCCACCCCTCACGCAGATCCGCGGGGTCAGGGTCCAAAAACACAAGGGATTTGCCACATTTCTGAAATTCGGTGCCACCCCTCACGCAGATCCGCGGGGTCAGGGTCCAAAAACACAAGGGATTTGCCACATTTCTGAAATTCGGTGCCACCCCTCACGCAGATCCGCGGGGTCAGGGTCCAAAAACACAAGGGATTTGCCACATTTCTGAAATTCGGTGCCACCCTTCACGCACATCCATCGCAAGGCGTGGTAACCCAAACTGCGAGAACTCCCTCGGCCCTTTAATCGCAAGGTGTGGTAACCAAGCCCGTAAACCATACACGTCTTACCAATCGCCAGGTGTGGTAACCCCTCTTGTGATCAGTTGGTTTGCTGATTGCGAATCGGCTTCGCATGAAGTTTCGATACTGCTTCACGACAGCGCCAAGGCCTCATGACTTAGCTCTTCCATGGCCCATTCTCCGAGAGAGGGGGCCGGCGGCAGGGGGCGAAGCCCTTACGGATAATTTCTAGTGGGCCATCACCATCATCATCATCACCACCACCATCATCATCATCATCATCATCATCATCATCATCATCAGCATCAGCATCAGCCTCATTAGCATAATCATCATCATCAGCAGCATCAGCATCGTCAACATCATCATCATCATCGTCGTCATCATCATCATCGTTCTCCTTCTCCTCCTCCTCGTCCTCCTTCCGCCCGCCTCCAGCCTTCCTCCTCCAGTTTCCCCAACCCTCCTCTCTTATCAAGCCCATTCAGCTCGGTGCCTTTCCCCGAAGGCCTTAGGTGGTCGGAACGGGGTGCATCGAGTCGGGCGCAGCGTTTCCAAATAGCACTGGAGGAGCACGCTCGACGATACGAGGGTGTCTCGTACCCGATTGGCGCTGCCAAAACTAGACAGCTTCAGAATACCTCGTCAACTATGTTGGGTAGTCACTGTTTGTTGATTGTCCCGAGTCTGTAGCGCTTATCCGAAAGCTCCAAACCTTTGTGTTACCCCCAACGTTACTGCGCCCCCCAGCTCTACAGCGCGCGCTGCTTGTTGTGTGGGTTACAGGTGCCGTACCTACTGGGTTGCGCCAGGTCGTACGTCGGCCCACCTCGACAGACGGCGATTATGCTGTCTATTCGTTCGGATCGGAGCCATCCGAGGCCAGTGGCATCTTTCACTACGTTCGTCCTGCTGCTCGCGGTGTTGGGCATTATGCTGGTCGTTCATAGGGTTGTTCATTGTATGGGGGTATCTCACAATTGATTCACAATCTGGCGACTTATACCACATGCGGAGATAGCTGGGGAATATGAGGTGCGCCGGATAAGGTAAATGCATTCCCGAGTGCCATGCCACGTGCTACTTCAAGTGGTGGGGCCGTGACTTGCCACGCTTTCTTTCTGGTGGCCGCGGCTGCAAGCTTGGATGTGCGGTGCAACATGCGGTCCAGGTATGGCGCCGAAACAAATCACACTCGCTCTGCCAGGCGAGGAAGCGCTCGTCCCATGGTTCGTGCACGAGCCCTTCCTGGTTGTCCCGTCGCTCCACGAGCTCAGGGCACGTGCTCTCTTCTTTGGGGAACCGCCTCGTGGCGGCGTCCACTCCGCTCCGCTCCCCGCCCCCCTCTCTTCTCTTCGGCATGCCATCGAACCGGGCCCGAGGCGTCCGAGGGCCAGTTAACGGGGCACGTGCCGCCTCCACGCGGCAGCAGTCCGCGTGCTGCGCGGGCGAGGGCACCTCCTCGTCCGTCCCAGCCCTCCCCGACCCCGGGCCCCTCCTCGCTGACGCCAGGCAAGCTTGGATCGACTGGGATCGTGGCGTCGGGAGGGCAAAAGGCGGCCGAGGTTAAGAAAGGTACCGACTCGGGCGCTGTGGCCGACAGGGTGAGCCCAGGTGAGCGCAGCTGGACAACAGGAGGCAGCGGAGCCAGAGGAAACGAAGAAGAAGAGAGGACCCGCGTGGGCATGAAAGGTGCGCTCACCTGGTCGTGGAGGAGGTGATGGAGGCAATCAGGACCCGCATCAGCCAGCACCCAGTCGAGAACAGATGCCCCCTCCTCTCCCTCCCCCTCCCCCTCCTCCTCCCCCCCCCTCTTTTGCCATCGCTCGGACGTCCGGCCCCCCTGCAAGTTGCTCGGCTTCGTGCGCCCCTCGCCTCGCACGCTGGCCCCCACAGGAGACCGCCTCCCCGACGGCCCCCCGGCCGAGAAAGGACGCGCGCACGCCCCGGGCGGACGCCGAGCCCTCCCCGGATGCCTCGGGGCCGAGGGCGCGGGCCCGCCCCCCCGCCAGGGGGCCGCGCGCTCGGGGCGGGGCGGGGGGGGACCTTTGATCCTCCTCCTCCTACTCCTCCTCCTCCTGCTCCTCCTGCTCCTCCCTCCTCCCTCCTCCTCCTCCTCCTCCTCCTCCTCCTCCTCCTCCTCCTCCTCCTCCTCCTCCTCCTCCTCCTCCTCCTCCTCCTCCTCCCTCCTCCTCCTCCTCCTCCTCCTCCTCCTCCTCCTCCTCCTCCTCCTCCTCCTCCTCTCCTCCTCCTCCTCCTCCTCCTCCTCCTCCTCCTCCTCCTCCTCACTCCTCTCCTCCTCTCCTCCTCCTCCTCCTCCTCCTCCTCCTCCTCCTCCTCTCCCTCCTCCTCCTCCTCCTCCTCCTCCGCCTCCTCCTCCTCCTCCTCCTCCTCCTCCTCCTCCTCCTCCTCCTCCTCCTCCTCCCTCCTCCTCCTCCTCCTCCTCCGTCCTCCTCCTCCTCCTCCTCCTCCTCCTCCTCCTCTCCCAGTCCATCTCGCGCCCGCTCGGCCCGCCCCCTCGCGCGGGGGGCGGGGCGCCGCTGCTGCCAGTTCTGCCTCACCCGCATCCGCTGGCTCTCGGCCGTGGGCTCCGCCAGCGCGCACGCCTGCGAGCTCGCGGCGGGAGGTGGAGGGTCCTGCTGTCGCCGTGCTGACCATTGAGGGGCGCCTGCGCCAGATCTCGAGTGAAACAGTAGGGGTCACAACCCTCCCAGACGAGCAGTTTTGACCCCCCCCCCCAGAGACTGGTGCGAAGACGGAGCCAGGACGAGGATGAAATCGGGTGAGGGTAAATCGAGAATCTCTGAGATCCAGGGGCTCTGGAGGATGTATCGGGCGTCGCGGCCTTCTCAGAGCGTTCCGGAAAGCTCTGAGAGCGTTCTGGAACGCTCTGGAACGGATGTATCCTCGTGCTAGCCCCGCCCGAATTCCTCCTGTCGCCGTGCTAACTCTGGGAAGACGTAAGACTCGGGTTCGGGGGACTCGGGTTGGCCTGACGGGGCCATCATGCAATGACGAGACCCCGTCTGAAATCTGACGCGAGCTCCCGCTGCAAACATCCCATGAAAACTGCAGTCAAAATCCGGGACGCGCTCGTCAAAAAGCGTCGGCTAACCCAAGTTCTGGAGCACTCAAGTCTCACGCTTCCCCGATGACCATGAGGGACGCCTAATCAGGAACGACCGGTTGCTGGACAAAGTCCTGCGCCTTATATTTTGACTCTAGTGAACACCCCCCGCGCCCCCAATCTGACTTTGGCGGGCTGCGCCGCGATGTGTCCGACCTGTCGACTGACCGGAATCCGGCGCCCCGCTGGCGATGCCAACCGACATTGCATCGGGGGCAGGGGGGCGCGTTGAAGTTTGCGCTGGCACCCCAGTCGCGCGGGTGGTGCAGGATTTTGCTCGACAGACCGTGCGGTGACCTCGAAGTCCCGACAGACATCACCGCCCCGTCCGTCATGGCACGGCCTTCGGACCTCCGAGGCCCCAGTTGCCCGAGACATCCTCGGAGAACGACCCGAGTCCCGAAACAGTTCGGCCACCACGACTCCCCACTGACTCACCACAGTGTGCTGACCACACCGATTGGGCGCTCCCGATCCTCCTCCTCCTCCTCCTCCTCCTCCTCCTCCTCCTCCTCCTCC